ACTATAAAAAAAATAACTTTTGAAAAATCTTTAACAAAACCATATAATTAAGAAATAATCAATTCACCGTAAGCGTAAGTATTCAAATTAGTTTTTTTTAAAAAAATACTTTAAATCTTTTTATTTTCAAAACCAAAAAAATCACTATTTCCTTTACATACTGAAACTTTATTTCCTTACTTTTAAGAAAGCGTGATATGAAAAAAAGAAAGAAAATTAATTTACAGAACTAAAATCATTAATAATTCTGACAAAAAATTTTTTTTTGTGTAAATGCACTTGAAGTTGTACAAAAATAGTTTTTGCCATTATTCCTACTTTAAAAAGAGTTACTTAATTAATGGTTTAAATACCGTACATTTTGATATAATAAGAGTAAGTATTAAAATTAGTTTTTTTTAGAAAAAATACCTTAAAACTTTTTATTTTCAAAACAAAAAAAAATCGCTATTTTTTTTTACATACTGAAACTTTATTTCCTTATTTTTAAGAAAGCGTGATATGATTAAAAAGAATGAAAAATAATTTACAGAACTGAAATCATTAATAATTCTGATAAGTAAATTTTTTTTGTGTAAATGCGCTTGAAGTTGTGCAAAAGATAGCTTTTTACCATTAGTCCCACTTTAAAAAGAGTTATGTTTACTAATGTTCTAACAGATTTGAATAATTTATTTGAGATATTGCTTAGTTACCGAAATATTTCAAAATATTTGTTTATATTGCAAATTAAACTCACACGCAGTTTGTGTGTTTTCATCACGAAATCTAATTTTTTCCGAAAAGTTTCTTTTTCCTTTATAATAAAATAAATTATACTGTAGCTGAAGTAATTCTGAAGCTAGCATTATTAATGTTTAAAAAACTAGTGTTTGGTTGAATAGGTGATAGGATATAATGATACTTGTTTGAAAATTTGTTATGCGAGCAAACATCGTATCCGAGATACAAATGTGGTAAAACGGTAGAAACGATTAAAATGTTTTTTTTTATTTATCATTTTTTTTTTGTTTTTTGATTTTCGTTACATTTATATTTTGTTTTATCATTTCTTTGTACTCGAGCTAGTTTCGAAATAAATTCAAGAATTTAAAAATTTGATTTTGATGTCACATTATTTAAATAAATAACCTCAAGAAAATGAAGCTGTAATATAATACTTGATTAAAATACTTCATTGGCTTTAAAAATATGCAAATGGAAATAAAAGTCGACATGTTTCAAGCTCTAAAAAATAGGCCCCCATTCTCAAGATTTGCCAGACTTGAATGAGATAAAACAAAAGTGATTTGATATATAAAACGTAAAGTTGCCAACAAAAAATAGAAAAACCGGTGAATCAGACTGGAAATGTATTTTCCCCTGATTCACCCCTCTCAGCCATAGTGGTTTTTCTTGTTCTGTTTTTATCATCTTTATTTTTGTCTCACTCTTAGCTACTGTAGATTTTCTAATTTCGTTTCTCACCTTTATTTTTCATTTTTCATAGGCAAATTTGTGTTTAATATTTGAAAATCCCTTTTGTTTCGTATCATTCACGTCTGGCAAGTCTTGAGAATCGGCTTCCATTTTTGAGCACTTGAAATATGTTGACTTTTATTTCAATTTGCATATTTTTGAAGCCAATGAATTTTTTAAATCAAGTAATATCTTACTGTTATTTATTTAACTTTATTCAAGATTATTTATTGTGACATTAAAATCAAATTTTTAAATTCTTAAATTTATTTAGAATTTAACTCAAATACAACGAAATGATAAACAAAAAAAAAATGAAAAAAAGAAACAAATTATAAAAAGTATAAAATTTTAATCGCTACTGCCGTTTTAGCTCATTTGTATCTTGGATATGACGTTTGTTCGAGAAACAAATCCTGGAACAAGTATCATTATATCCTATCACCTATTCAACCAAACACTATTTCTTCGAATAACAATAATAATGTTAGCTTCTGAATTACTAGTTGTAGTATAACTTTAGTTGTAGTATAATTTATTTTATTACAAGGAAAAAAACTCTTTTTAATCAAGTATTGCCGCATTATTCGGTTAATAAACTTTTTTTTATCAAGTATTGCCACATTATCATCTAAATACTTTTGAAAATGAGATTTTTTAAACTTTTATTCAAAGTTTAAGCAATATCACTGGTATTGTAATCAAAATTGAATATGTTACGAAAAAATAAAATGAATTACCATTCATTCTTTTTGCTGCATAAAAAGGGTTAAGTAATCACTTCTCGGTTAAATAGTTTTAATATAAACTAAATACTTCTGAAAAATTGTTTTTTTTATATTTATATGCAAAATTTAAGTAATGTTATTGATATTTTAAATAAAATTCAACAAGTTCTGTGATAATCAAATAAATTAACACTAATTTTTTCAATGCAGAAAAAGCAAAATATCGTAATCAATTAATTTATCCCCGAATGGGATTATTATTTTTTGTATAATCTAAATACTGTTGAAAATGAGGTTTTTTAAACTGTTACTCACAGTTTAAGCAAAATTATTGGTATTGTAATTAAATTTCAATATGTTACGAAAAAATAAAATGAATTACCATTAATTTTTTTTCTGCAGAAATGCAGAAAAAGGAAAATCTGTAATGAATTAATTTATCACTGCGAGGGTTAATTACAGAGAAAGGAAATGAGATACGCTTTTCAAAGAATGCATTTTTCTGGAAATGTTCCAAAAATTTTCCGACCACCTTTTTAAATATTCTTATTTAAAACGTCGTTAGATTTTTTCGTTGTCAGAGTTTGAAAACGAACTAACTATTAACGCCAAAGCTTGTAATGACCCCTCCCTTTCTGACCGTCAAAATTACTCTAAACCAGCGTGCGAATGGAGTATTAATACGGTATTAAAAATAACGTACGGAATGTACTCGCTAATTTACATATAAATCTATTTAAGAACCGTTTCCTTCTCTTTATTTTCTTAAAAATTTGCATTTTTATCTTTATCGTTAAAACTTTTATCCTGTTCACTTGGCACAAAATCTATAAAAAAAAAAACCAATAGATTTTCATAAATAAAGGAAAAGAGAACTTGTAGCGCTACTAAGAGACTCATTTTAAATAGCGAAGGTTTAAATCTGTATTAATTTAAATAATGAATAATAAATTTTTTTCATGAACTAATGTACATATTTAACAGTAATATACTCTAAAGAGTTTACAGATTTTCTGAGTATTATTTTACATACGCATAATTTTATATGGGCCATATATACGCAGTCAAATCTGGCCCTTATGCTACTTTCCCAGAAAAATCGGTTCTATAAAATCGGTACTTTAAATCCTATTTGAAGAAAAGAATTCTGATAAAACTACCATACTTTTTGGTACTGACATTTTTGGTAAAAAAAACAACAACATAATTCTTAAAACAAAACACCAAAATGTACAGTAACTAAACTATTCTATTGGTAATTTCTTCCGTTCGTATGGCCGAAAATTCTGGTTTTCAAAATTTAGTTCCCAGGGGCAACAAATATTTGAATTTGCATATTTCAATTTATTTATTTTCAAACCTGTCTTTTAATTCATTGAAAGAAAAGGAAAAAAAGAGATCAGTTTCATTCAATTTAATTCGTAATCAGTGACTTTTGCTATTTTTCCTACAGGGGCACTACCAAGATATATTACCACACATTAAGTAATAATTAGAAAACGGAAAAGTAAATTTGACCGAATAAATAGTTTTCATGCCATGGTCAAAAGTATCTTCATAAAATTACCAAATTTTATCTCATTTCCTACTAAACCTATGGTAAAAAAATTATCCGGTAAAAAAAACATGTTTTATTGTTAATTTTACCGAAATCATTACCAAAGAGTATCGGTAAAAATTATCGCAATTGTAGTGTTCCCATAGAGTTTTAAATACCGCACGTTTTACCATTTTCTGTAATTTTAACCTTGGTTTTTTTTTCAGTGTGTCTATCAACAACTATTGCCCAAATTAATAACAAAGCCTAAATATTCAATACATTTTGGTACAATATCTGTATTACAGTGCTATGTCATTTTCTGGATTTGACAGGTTAGATAACACTTTTAATTTTTGAGATTGCACTGCGAAGCGATTGAATTTTGTAAATTTAGCCGATTCTTAATGATTTGCACTGGTCACGTGTACAGTACGCAAAATAAAAAACAGACCATCCCGAATAACTTTTAGTCTAATGATCGGTTCTTCACGTTCTATGACTCAATTTCTAGGACTCAATTATACACGCATGTTTTATCAGACTTCTTTAAAAAATTTTATTAGACATAAATAACCCTGGTTGTGTTTTTAATATGGTCAAAAATAGCCTGCACACTTAATGAAACATTAAATCTGAAAATCTTATAAATAAGCAGAAATTATGCGCTTAAATTTTATCAGATTTTCAAAAAAAATTCATTAGACTTAAATAACCCTCCTTGTGTGTTTACTATGATCAAAAATAACATGCAATCTTAATGAAGCAATACTTCTTAAACTCTTAAAAGAAACCAGAAATTATGCACACAAGTATATAATTTTTATTTTTACAAATTTTCATTAGACGTAAATAACCCTGGCTATATTTTTACTATCGTCAAAAATAACCAGTACATTTAATGAAACATTTAATATGACACTCTTTTAAGTAACTAGAAATTATAGGCACAAATTTTATCAGACTTTTTTTATAAAATTTCATGAGACGTAAATTACTTTGGCTGTCTTTTTACTATGGTCAGAATTAGCCTGTACATTCTAGAGTTAAGAATAACGATAATAAAAAATATCTTATTCTCAATCTTCAGTTCATTCAATTATTAAAACTAAACGGTTGACACATTTCTTAGAAATTTAGAGAAATTACGAATTACAATAACAATTTTAATAATTTTTTTTTATTTACAACTAAAACGAATTTAAATCTGAAAATATTACATTCTAAAATTTTATGAAAATAATTCGACACTTCAAGAGATATTATTTTTTACTTACAATGCGGCATCTTCATTCTCATATTGAGCGTTGCAGCCAATATGTAGTATATAACACATTTTAAGCAGTAATATTGCGATATCAAAAGTACAGATCAACCTAAAAGTATGAAATCAAAAATATAAAATAAATGAAATAGCTTAAAAGAAGCATAATTATAGTGTCAATTCGTCATAATATTAAAAAAATATTAATAGTATTGTATAAAAATGCAGAAACGAGATAGACATTTAAAATTCTTTTTGAAGAAAAATAAACACCTTGCTGTAACGAAAGAATTATGATAGTATTTTAAAAGAATATCAAGTAAAAAGATTCAGTTAAATTCTTTTAAATATATAATATAAACAAATGCTTTAAATTATTTTTCATCTTGAACAAATTGCTCAGAACAGAGAATGAAAGTTGAAAAATAAATAAAGACTTATAACACTATTTCATGACAAATAAATAGCTTGTTTAACTAGAATTAATGGTATTTTTAAGTAAGATTATTTAGAAATAATTATAAAAACATGAAAACTAGACAAATATTCAAAATTTTACTTAAAAGAAAATAATTAGTGGTCTGTCACAGACAGTTATGGTAATAATAAACAGAAAAAATTGAATAAGAATAGTTTTAAAAAAGAAAGTATTAAAGACAAAAACTAAATATCTATATTTAAAAACCTGCGTGACGTCTAATTCTTTGGAAATTTTTATGTTTTAAATTCAATTCACTTTATTTAATACATTTAAAGATCGATTGTAATTCATTGTTAGTTCAGGATTTTCTTAGGGTATACAAAAGTCATGAATCCAATTTAGCTCTTATAGTTTTTGTAGATAAGCAATAACAGCAACAGCAAAATTTTATTTGTTGTAAAATTGATATTCTGATATCATGAAAAATTTATGATAGCATATTATAAATTTTTCTAAGAAATACATTATAATGGAATTACAGCGTTATTAATTCGATTCAACGTTTCGTTATTAATTCGACCGAATTAATAACGAAAATACATTATCAAAAAATTATTTAACCAACTCGTGAAATAAATCAATTAATTAATTGCCAACCAAATCGGAAAATTTATTATCAAACAAATTCAAAATGATTAGGGTGCTATCACATACAATTTGGTAACATTGAGCAAAATTATTAAAATCAAAGTTTAGAAAATATAGCATAATAGCGTACTACTGAACCTACTTTTAAAATTTGTTTGTGGTCAAATAGATAGCTTCTAATCATCAAAAATTATAATAGTATATAATTAATTAATAAAAGAAATTAATTATCAGTTCAAATAAATCATTAATTATTAACTCAATTTTTAATGGATTCATAATTGAATTTAAGAGTAAATATAAAACAGGAAAACTAAATACACATTTAAAATCCTTTTTGTCCTCAAATCCTACTTATCCTATTTAATAAAGTTAAACTTTTATTTGTTGTGAGATAGATAGGCTGTTTTCAGAGAAAAACTATAATAAAATATAATGAATCTATCAAAGAAATGCTTATCACTTGAAATAAATCATTCATTAAAAATTCCTCGTAGGTTTGAAAAAAAAAATGAAGCAGGAAAACTAAATATACAATTAAAATCCTATTTGTCATCTAATCCCTTTTAAAATCCTATTTAATTCATTAAAAATTCTATTTGTTGGCAAATTGATACTCTGTTATTAGAGAAATATTATAATAATATATAATAAATCTATTAAAGAAACTAATTATCAATTCAATTAATTATCAACAATAATAAATCATAGATTAAAAATTCATTTTAGCCTTGAAAAGAAAACACAAAGCAGGAAAACTAAATATATAATTAAAATCTTATTCAGCTTATTTAATACATTTAAAATTCTATTTGTTGTCAAATCGATAAACTGTTATCAGAGAAATATTATAATAGTATTTGATGAATCTATCAAAGAAATTAATTATCAATTAAATTAAATTATTAATTAAAAATTCATTATTAATTTAAAAAGAAAATATAAAACCAAAAAACTAAAGATACAATTTAAATTTAATTTTTCGTATTAATTACTTTTAAAATTGAAATTTTTTTTGTTAAATCGATAGGCTGTTATCAGATAACGATTATAATGGTATATAATGAATCTATTGAAGAAATTAATCATCAATAAATTCAAATAAATCATTCAATAAAAATTTATAATAGATTTGAAAAGAAAATATGAAACAGGAAAACTAAACATATTCATTTAAAATTGCTTAATATTAATCCTATAATATAATATAATCCCTAATAACTATATCATATTTGTCATCGAATCCTATTTATCCTATTTAATGCATTTAAAATTCTTTTTGTTGTCAAATAGATAGGCTGTTATCAGAGAAATATTACAATATATAATTAATTCATCAAATAATTAAATATCAATTCAAATAAATCATTCATTAAAAATTCTTCCCAGATTTGAAAAGAAAGAATAAAACAGGAAAACTAAATATACATTTCAAATCCTATAGTATAAATCCTATAATATAATATAATACCTAATAAATATATCCTATTTGTCAACAAACGCTATTTATCCTACTTAATACATAAAAAATTCTATTTGCTGTCAAATCGATAGGCTGTTGTCAGAGAAATATTATAATAGTAAATAATAAATCGATCAAGGAAATTAATTATCAATTCAAATAAATCACTGATTAAAATTTCCTTCTAGATTGGAAAAAAATATATATAAAACATGAAAACTAAATATACATTTAAAATCCTATTTGTCATCAAATCCTTTCTGAAATTCCGTTTATCCTCTTTAATATATTTACTATCCCATTTGATGCTAAATCGATAGGCAGTTATCAGAGAAAAATGATAATAAAATATAACAAATTTATCAATAAAGAAAATAAAAAAATAAAAACATAGAAACTAAATTTATAATTCTATTTAGGGAAAAATAAATTACATTGATAAGGGAAAAAACAAACAGAGAGTGACGAATAATCATGAATAGGGAAAAACCATTATCACTACATGCAACGAATCACACATCATCATCCCTTACCCAAAAATAGAGAGCATTTCTTGGTTCTTCCGTAATCATCACCTTAACTCAAATGAAGATGAAAGCGCTAAGCATAGGAATTTTGTATTCCGAATCCTTCTCCAATCACGCAAACCTACGTTACTATGGAGTCTCTCAACACACAAGTAAACGAAAAGTTCGCCAAAAATTAGTCCAGTTTTGTTTTATTATTTTCGCCTGATATATACGAGAACAATATGATAAGTTCATCCAATTAGGCTAATAACTATTTTATTTATGATTGGTTTCTGTTTCTTTTATATTTGTGTGTGCTTTAATTTGTATTCATTGCACACAGTGATATTTTTGCGCATTGAAATATAAATGAACGTATTGAATGCATCTATCTATATTCGAATTAATTTAACTTTTTTAATGAATTTAATTTTTTTAATTGCTTCAGCATAAAGTGGTTTAGAAATTAATAATTAAATGCATGTTTAAAATTGATAGTTAATGAATTAAAAATGCAAATTTAATATCATTTTTTGAAAAATTCTTAATCGAAGAATTATTAAAATTCGATAGTTAAATGATTAAAATTAGATAATTAAAATTGATTTTTTTTAAATATATATATGTACGAACGATGAATGTGTATATATATATATACAAATCTATGGTTGTGTATTGTTATTGCTTTATTTATCTACAAAGTACCTGTAATGGTAACGGTAATGAATTTCATTTAAAGAAATTGTAAATAAGCACAAATCAGAGCACCATAAATTACAACTGCTAATTTCTACCTTTATAATGAAAAAAAATTAACTTTCATATAATTTGCAAACTCGTTTTTTCTTCCTGATCTCTTTGTTGGGTTTAGTATAAGTATTTTATTAACCTTTTTAGGCAAACATTAAGTATGATAACATAAAATTTAAACTACATTTAAACAACATAAAGGTTTTGTTTATAACTAGTCTTATTATATTAGATAGCCGCAAATTGTGCCGCAATATATATATATATACAATATATANTGGTGAGTATGGAACCACCCAGCGATTATCGATGTCAACTCTTACACCGTTTGATAGACGCAATTCATATGATTGACCGCCATTGTCTACATCTCTACGACGTATAATATTTGCATTCGTAGGGACTTAGCATTTTACATGTCTATAATACAAAGTAAATCCAAATAATGAAAATGAATTTAAGTAAATTATTTTTAATAAGAATTGAGAAAAAATAAAATTACCACATATTTGTTCGTACTTGGATTGCCTTCGATATCAATCTGGCATGGCCAAATTAATTACTCTATCAGGCTAATAATGCTCCTAAAAGAGAAAACATAATATTAAGTAACACAATAAAATAACTCATTAATTATTTTGATTTAAAGAACATATCTCAATTTCTATCTAACATTTCACAATATCTGTTCTATAACAGTGATTCTCAACCCTTTTTTTTCTGTCGCAGCCCACTTTTAACGATTTCGAAATCTGACGGCACACAAAATAAGTTAAAAAGTTGTTTACTTACTTATAATACACTATGTAAAATATTTTATGATAATAATTTTGATTGTAAAATAAAATGGTATGTACTACAAAAAACAACAGTAAGTTTATTAAGGGATTAATTACAAGTTAACTGTTATTTTTTTGCAAGTTCTCAGCTTGTTTTTTATAGTTATTAACTAGCGGACCCGACAGACGATGTTCTGTACACACGTCTTTAATTGGAAAATTTCAACTTTTTTTGAATAAGCTGTAACAATCTGGATCGTTTTGATGCAAATTTTTATTAAAAAGTTATCATATTATCTAACGTCATTACATATATCTCTTATCACAATTCGACCAATCGATAGCGTGTGAGTATGTGTATACTATCAGCGAAGTTAAATGTAGAGGTTGTTTTAAATCAAAACTTAAACTTATTTTAATTAAAGGTAAAAAAGTGAAAACTTAAACTATTTTATAACAGATATATTTTTTCAATTAAAAAAAACTTAAGTTATCGTAATGCCATTAGATGTACAATATTTTTGGTTGATCCTTCAGAAGCATACACAAACAAATTCGAGGGTTTTCCAACTCTGGAACACGCAACATATAATTGACCGTGAGAAAAGCACGGGTTTTTTTAAATCTAAGCCACAAAATGTCATTGTTTGACCTTGTGACTTATTAATAGTCATAGCAAATGCTAAGCGGATTGGAAATTGCAAACGTTTGAATGGTATAGGCGAATCTGAAGGAATCATTGGGATCCGCGGTAGAAGTACAACTTCACCTTGAAATTTTCCACTTTAAATAGTGACTTCCAAAATGTTACCCATGATTTTTTTTATGACCAGTAGCGTGCCATTACACAATTTCGGAGCATTCAAATTTCTAAGCAAAATTATGGGTGAACCAATCTTCAATCGCAAATTATGGGGTGGCATTGCCGGTAAATCCAGTGAATTTAAAAACTCGGCAGGATAGTCGACAACTTCATCAGGATCAACAACAGTGTCAATCGATTTGAATGTAATTTCACTACCAGGCAATGATTGTTGTACTTTAAAATTTATTGCGTCAACATCTAAATTTCTTGCGGCTGAAATAGCTCGCTCACACAGCCATGCATGATTAGTATAATCATGTGGCAAATCTAGAAAGATACTTTTTATTAACTCCTCTTTGGTAGGCACCATATTGCAAAAATTCTGTGGGAGTCGAATATATTGTGAATCTTCATACAATTGAATTTTACCATTGCCAATGTCTAACAGTTGTTCAGAGAATCTTGACGCTAATGGATCATTTTGAAGTTGGACACGCATATTAAGAGTAAGGCATAATTTACTGACACTTCGCCACAGATAAGATTCTTTCAAACATGCGTTTATTTCGTCCGCATATGTCGCACGTGGAATGACGGGTAATGTTTGTCTGAAATCACCTGACAACAGCAGTAGAGCACCACCAAAAAGCCAAGTATTATCTTTGATATCTTTTAGGAACCTGTCGAGAGCTTCAAGCGAATGCTTGTGGGCCATTGTACATTCATCCCAGATAATAATTTTACATTTTCTCAAAACTTCAGCCATGCCTGAATGCTTCTTTATGTTACACATTTCTTCGGGATTGGTATGAATATTCAAAGGTAATTTAAGTGCTGAATGCGCTGTCCGTCCACCATCAAGTGAGGTTGCTGCAATGCCTGATGAAGCAATTGCCAATGCAATATGATTTTGAGATCTAATGCGCGCAAGTATTAGTGAGATGAGGAATGTTTTACCAGTGCCACCTGGTGCGTCCAGAAAAAAAAGCCACCTTGTTGTGCTGCAAATGACACGTTAATTTGATCATATATATTTTGTTGCTCAGCAGTAAGCAATCGTTCATTGTTAGCAACAAAAGTAGCCAGAGAAGTCATATCGAACTGGTGTTCACGTTGAACGTCGCTGTTGATGATATCTGCTGCTTGGCGGATTGGCGCTGGCATGCCAAAATTTATGAGCGGCATGTTCGAAATAAGAATACAAATATCCTCAATCATTATTAATGCCTCGTTATATATTTCTGCGGAGAATTCAATACTGAGATTTTGATTAGTAATTCTAATCCGATGCAAAATATCCTCACTCATTGATTCTTTATATTTATTCCACAAAGCAGATGCTTTAGACGGAAAACACGTTGTCAATATTATTGAAAATAATTGACGAATTTGCTGTGGAGATGAGCTCAGTGCTGCATCTGCAAGTGTGAGGTCCCAATGGTTATCATCCTCCAATAAATGTAACTCACGACACGCATCAAAGAAAGTGCCGTATAAAGTACCGTTGACTTTTCGCAAGTATTGAAAGGATGTCGGTCCAGGAACGTTAACCAATAACAAACGCAGAAAAAAGCAATCGCGTTGCTTAGGATGAATTGTATATAATCGTCCTAAAGTATTTGTCATAACTATGTCGGCAAATCCTGGGATAGGAGTGCCTCGTTTCCGTGGTTCCCAACTTTTTGATTGTTTATTCCATGTAAAAAAGTTAGGAACATCAGTATACATTAATGTCTTTGCAAATTCACCAACAATATCTTGTCGATTACAAAGGTTGAAAAATTCAGTAAGAGTTGTTTTTGGAGCTGTTAAAGCTTGTTGTAGTACATTCTGTTCTGTGAAATAAACACGCTGTCCATTTTCAAGATGCACAGCCAAATGTACAACAGCAGGATCCCTTTCATGTATAGGAAATGTAAAAATTCGCCAAATAGCTTCATTACTACTAATGTATCGTCCCATTTGATAATGTGTTATTTCGTCATTCTTATTTCCATTTTGAACAGCGAATATATCTTTATCACTGCCCTTATGACGTACTTACAAATGTACTTGATAGACCTCACCGAACTGCATAACTCAACGTTTATGTGTGCTTTATAGGTTTTGCACAGCAATGGTGAGTATGGAACCACTCAGCCACTATCGATGTCAACTCTTACACCGTTTGACAGACGCAATTCATATGATTGACCGCCATTGTCTACATCTCTACGACGGTAAGATGGATAACCATCGATATTGCTGATAGTGTCAGTTTGACATGGTTTAGGAAAACGTTTCGTACATTTTCCATTATCCATACATGGTGACATCATGTTGAGAGAACCACATGGACCATGGATCATATTAGTAGTCACAATGTCAAACAATTCTTGATCAACATTCGGATTTGGAATTTCCGCTGAAATAATTTTGTCAATTTCTTCTGGGCGTACTTTGTCCATCAACCAAATCAAAATATGCGCATGAGGTAAACCTCGTTTTTGCCATTCAACAGAATAAAGCCAACATCGTGTTTCGCCAAATACCGAGTGATGTGTAATCAATTTCATCAGAGATTTCAATTTTTGTTTGAACACACGTGCAATGATATCATGGCGATGCATCGATGTTTGACCTGATAACAGCAAATTTTTAATTTCAGCCCAGTTTGGATTACACGTAAATGTGATAAAAAGATCTGGTCGGCCGTATGCGCGTACGTAAGCCATGGCGTCTTGAATATATTCTTGCATATGACGCGGACTACAAATGTATGATGATGGAAGAATATATGCGGTACCGATGTTGTTGATATCATTCGTTGCATCTACGTTACCGATTGTGGTGTCACGCAAATGAATGTACTCCTCAGAACGAAGTTTCGCTTGATTAAATTTTATATAACGCAATGTCTCACTTTCGATTTTTACATACATATCAACAATGTACTGATGAAATAGCTGTCTGCTTCGGAGAATGTTATTATCTTAATTTTTACGAGTCATCAACCGGTATGCGTAGAAGTTCATCGCACTAACTTTCTAGATTAGTTCTTCACCTGTAAATAAAACTATTTATAAGATAAACAGAAATAATTGGTTCAAAAAAAAAATTATAAAATAATCTATAAGTTGTGCCTGTTGTTGGATTCCTTTATTTAATATTTAAATGATATTCATCTTCTCCTTCCCAAAATATCAACGGATATTGCAATGCGTCGTAAGAGCGATAATTGTCTTGAATTATTTGTATTGTATTATCTCTGCGTTGTATGCGAATATCTCGAGGTTCACATGGGTCACCAGCCATAACAACTGCAACTTCATTAACAGTTGGAACATTATATGCGCCTGCGTGCTCTCTATGGGGCACTTTGTCTGCTTTAATAACAATGGCGTAGTTGTCGTTTTGCAGTCTGTTGGAAAGAGTCTTGAACAATCGTATCAATTGGTTATGGTTTTGCAAGAACGTTTCCAAAATGTCCACAATTTCTCGTTCCTCCATCTGCTCTATATGGTTGTATATGCATCGTGTATGAGTTTGTTGCTCCTCATCGCCCATAAAGTAAATTTGTAATAATTTTGGATCGACATTAGGCATTGGATGCAATGAACCAATTTGGTGGTACACTTGACCTTGAATCTTAAATGTAGATTCAAAATTGCGACCATCCTCATTATGAACAATTTTTGTTGCTCCAAATGATGTCATTTGAAAGCAAGAATTGGATTTACGAATTTTCCTCAAAAACAATTTCGATTGAGATGCGGTTCCAGCTAATAATGTTTTCAAAGGTTCCGATGGTGGATTTAACGGTGGAAGGGAAGTTTTTCCAGGTGCTTAACATAAACCGGCTTATTCATCTTTGTACTTTAAAGCATGACAATATTGACACTCGTTGTTCATACTACCGATTAAGATTAATGCATGTGACGAATAGTCTATTTTAGGGTCATATTCAAACGCAAGACGATTAAGTGATGCTCGTATCAATGCTCGATTATCTTGCATTCGC